TTCTGTTTAAATGTATGAATACACATACACTTCTTGTCTTGATGCAGAGTGTTATTTGGGTAGCTATCAAAGATGGAAAGAAAGAGTTGTTTATTGTTATAAGAAAGTATCTTTCTTTTTTTTTTTTTTTTGACACAAATGTAGGAATATTGTTATCCAAGCCCCTTGGAGTGAAATGTTATACTTCAGCTTTGTTAAAGGTAGAATGGGTGTTGAGGGAAGGAAAAACAAAATCTTTGTAGTGAGAGTCTGACTGACAGTATTTTCCCTTTGATGAAACAAGTCCCTTCATATTAGTAACTAACGTGAAGATATAAGACTGAGAGAGACCTGGCAGTGAAGGAACTGCACTAACATATATGCTTACTGCTGTGTGCAGCAGAAAGAGCTGAGTAAACTGCATGTATATATAGTAGATTTAATTAATGTTATTAATTTTAGAAGTGTTAGCATTGCTTGAAGGAGCCACGTGGATTTTTTACGCTGTTTTACCATTGCTTAAAAGAGAGCTCTTGGTTTATTGATTTCAGAGAAAGTGATTTGTTGTGCAACAAAACCTCTAAAATCACTGATTCAATCTTGAATGCAGCAGTCATAATTTTCACAAGTACTGTAAAGCTGGAAGACTGTCTGCAAATGTTTCATGTATTTTGCTGGACATACATATTGCTTGTAGCTACATATAGCTGTAAGCTACAAAAGATGCTGTTTCTTTACTCTTCAGTAATTCACAAAAAATTGGATTTTTCCAACTATGAAGGATCCAAGTTTTGGGGTTGTATTAGAAGACTTGTTTACCTCCAACGTGCTCACCTTAAAGTACTGTCATTTTAACCTTCCAGCCAGTCTTTGATATTCTTGTGGCTTTGTCTGCGGTTCTGAATTTGTTTTATTATGCAGATTATTTATGTACCCTGCTTAGGTATTAGTTAGATTATATTTTCTTTACCACTTACAGGGAGAACTTCAGTCAGGAATTAGGCACGCGTTCAGATTTAATTCAACTTATAGCTTTTTCTCTGAAGTTGACACCAGCTGCCTCTCACCAGCTGTCCGGACTGTGGCACTTGTTACACCTTCATGAAGTAAGAACAAATTTTAGTTTAAATTAATCTTGCAGAAGTTCTGGGCTGGGGCAATCCCTGGTATGTGTACAAAGTGGAGGAAGATCTCCTTGAGAGCGAGCAGCCATGTGGAGAAGGACTTGGGGGTCCTGGTGGATGAGAAGCTGGACATGAGCCAGCAGCCCGACTGTGTTCTGGGCTGCATTAAAAAGGGGTGGCCAGCAGGGAGAGGGAGGTGATTGTTCCCCTCTGCTCGGCTCTTGTGAGGCCCCAGCTGGAGTCCAGGCCTGGGGCCCCCAGTACGGGAAGGACATGGAGCAATTAGAGCAGGTCCAGAGGAGAGCTGCTAAGATGATCAGAGGGCTGGAGCAACTCTCCTATGAGGAAAGGTTGAGGGAACTGGGCTTGTTTAGCTTGGAGAAGAGAAGACTCCAGGGAGACCTCATTGTGACTGTATTCTGTATTCTGGAAACTCTCTTTAAACTCACTGGGTGTTCCACAAACAAGGAGTTTGAGCCAGTGCAGATATTCAGAAGTAAGCTTTTTCTTCTTAATGGGAAGATATGCAAGTAAAGCTGTGTGAATTTGAAATGGACCTTAAGGAATATCTTACCTCTAGTGGGGAAGCGCTGTTCTCCTGCTTGATTCTCTTTTGCTTCCTTTACGTTATCCTCAGGTCCAAGTTTTTCTTTCTTCATAGATATCCCCTGAAGAAATGTCTGTTCTGTCATCTCAACTAGTTAATGCTGCACTGGCATGCTTTTGGAGCAGTGCTTTCACCACAGATCCTGACTATTGGTTAACTTGGAGACCATTACCTGCAGCAGAGGAAAAGATCTCTTCTAAATCTCATAGGAACACTTCTGTGAAGGTTTGTCTCTTCTTACCTTATCAAGCAACTAGGTTGAAGGCCATTTTATGAACTAATTCAACAGTTTTCAAAAACAATGCTATAAATTCTAGCATAGCCAATGCAAGATATGAACAATCTAACTCTTAATCTTTTAATTTAGGGCCCAGGTATTTTGACCCGAGCAGTTTTCTCAAAGTGCTTCTTTGAAATTCTAACTAGCAGCAGCAAGACAAGCCAGTGGGATGTCAGTGGCCTTCCTGTTCTGTCATCATCCCATGTGACACTGGGTGAATGGATGGAGAGAGCACACCAACTTCATGAAGTCAGCACAGCACTGTGGACCAACCAAGCTGTTGCTTCAATAACAGACTTTAGGTATTAAGACCTTCATTCCACATGTGTGTTACTTAAACCAGGCACGTTGCAGAAGCTTGCTTACCATGTGTAATCTTGTTTCATTCATTTGCCTCCAGATATACAGATTCTAGACTACAAGGAATAATGTTAAGCAGACAACTCTCTGCTCTGGTAGATCTGGTTCCACCAGATCTTCAAGAGGAGTTTTTGAACTGCTGTGAGAAACTCTTCGTGAAGGATCTCGTTTCTTATGAGTACCTTCTCAAGATACTTAGAAGCATCGCTGATCAGGAGTTGCTTCCCAAAGAATTCATGGTTCTCCTGCTGACTTGTTTGGAGCAGTTCTTTGGGGAAGGGCGTAAGGATTTACCAGAAACAGCTTGGAGAGGAAGCCTCTGGGTGAATATTGGTTTGCTGCAGATCCAGCTGTGGCTTCCGCAGACTAGATTTGATCCAGCTATTAAAAGAGAATACAAGCTCAAATATGCCAAAGAAGAGGTGGGTGTAGAGTTGGTTTTCTTAATCAACCCTATGAAATGTACATTAAAAAAAAAAAAAAAGTAGTATAAAATCTACATGCAAGAGGTTGGTCACAGTTTTCAAACTGTGATTTTAATGTGCTTTAATGTCCAAAATGATGCTGTACCTACTTTGTTGCTGAGACCCAAACCTCAGAGAATGGTTTATTCTTGCCTTTTTAGTTACACCAGCTGGAGTGTGAATGGAAGACAAATGATTTGTCATCTCAGCTGCGTACAGGAAAAAGTCTTGAAGACAAAGCGCTCTGCAACTACATTCATCCCCATCTCAGGTAATTTCTTAGGCACTCAGCTGTTCTCTTTTAAGTTGGAAACATTGTCTCTGGATGCTGAGGCTCAGTTTTCTTCACAATGTTTGTGTTCTTCTGTAGAAAGTAGGCTTATTGATTTGAAAGTAACAATTGGCATATTGACATGATAATTTAAAATACAGAAGCTTTTCTGTTTACTAGCAGGCATTAAGGAATTGTCTGCATTTCGTACTGTCACAAATACAACAATTAAAATAGTAACCCTTAAATCTTTAGAAAATTAAAGCTGTAGCCAGAAGTGAAAATAGTCACACATCATGTTATGGTAATTTTGTTAAACTGTGATAATATTATTGACAATTTGAAATGAAGAGGATCACCTATCACTGTAACCCCTGAAAGCTTCAAGATATACCAGAGTTGCTTTGCAGAATTTTTGGACTAATCTGTGCTAAGTAGAAAACTCAGATGCTGTTTTGCTGTCAGCCTTTGCCTGTGCTGCTGTGGTTAATATCATACCACATAGAATACATGGTGGAAGTTTAGAATTTGTAGCCATTGTTCTTTGTTTGTAATCTGAAGAGTTTAAAGAGGAAATATTAAGCGGATTCTAAGGGCTTAAAGGGGATGATAGTCGTTGAAAACCTATTCTGAATGGCTGAGTTTTACCTATTGCTTTTTCCTTAATGCTCACAGAGCTGTGAGGTAATGAGCAAAAAATAAATCAGTGTATTGGAGAAATGTTGGAAGAATGAGAAGACGGAGTGTATGTGTGGTATATGGGTGTCATTCCTTGTTCTTATCTGTTTTACTGTACTGTTTTACATAAATTACCAGAATGTTTGTTATGAATATTCCTTCGTGCCACTGTGCCGTCTGCGAAGTATGTTTATTACAGTATATTTCTGAACTGATCATGTTGTTTCATAACAGGCTCTTGCAGGAAAGAATGCAAAGACTGAAGGAGCAAATAAGTAGTCTTTCCAGAAAAAAAGCCTTCAGGCCTTCATCTCCACTGTACGATGGCTTGTACCAGGAGGCTCACCAGTACATCAACAGCATAGCAAAGCTTTCTTCAGTCCAAGATCTTTTAGCCCGTCTTCTGCAGTTCCTTGGTGGGCAAAGACCTAAATCACTCCAGGCAATAAAAAACCTGTTAAGTGAAGAAGCATCTTGGCAACAGTCACACCATCACTTCAGAAAACACTTAGCGGAGGAGTATGCTGTATTCCCTGATGCCATCATTCCCATGCAAGCTGCCATCTTACAGTTGCAACATGGCATGCGATTAGTAGCTTCTGAAGTTTATACAGTGCTCAATAGTTTTGTTTGTCCAGCTGATCTTACCAACCTCCTTACTTCTTTGTTGCTATTTCCATCTGTTGGCCACTCTTTTCCCACTTACTTTGCTCGTGCAGAAATTTTATGCTCAGTGAATTCAGTTGAAGTTCTTCATGGACTTAAAAAGTTTTCTCTGAAGCATTCTGAAGGAGAATCAGAGGGATTACAGAAGTCTTGTCCAACTCTGGAACAGCTCCTTGTGAATGCACTGTTGCATCTTCGATGCCATGTACTATCCAGAGGAGAGATGGACCAGAAATCTCTGCAGCTTTTTAGACATCTGTGTCAGGTAATGTCTGAGGCCTAATGGCCAAGATTCTTGCACTGAACAATTACTTTGGTAATTGTTTGTATAATTCTTAAACTTATTTTTCTGCAGAACTGATGAAAGATGATTTAACATATTACCATAACTTGCTTGTTAACTTGCTTGTAGTTATCAAGTCACGAACTCAAAGCCTGTAATGGCTACTAACAAATCCCCATCAACCACCATCCCACCGAAAAAACCTCACCCAAAAAAAACAACAACAACAAAAACACCCACAAAGCTTTGTGAAAAGTTTCTTTATTCAATGGTTAAGAAAGCCTATGACTTGGCCAAGTACTTCACTCCATGCAGTTGAGGTGCTTTTTCTTCACTTGAGAGCAATTTACTAATCTCCATTCAGATTAGATGGTGTTGATAGACACTGCTGCAGACTCTAGAGAGTTAAAGAGACAAGGAAGGTAATTCTGCCTCACTGAAATATTAGTTTTTGAGGATGTTTTAAATGTTACTTTGGGTCACGTTATGCTACTTTGTGGTTTTCTAGGCCATCATAAATGAGTGGGATGAACAGGAACGCCGTGCCCAAGAGCAGGAGGCAATGGAAAAGAGTTTGTACAGATTCAGAAGTAAAACTCATGGGAAGGGACAAAGTGAGGAAGAGGAGGAGGAGGAGGAATTTAGGAGGAGATTTCCTTTTCATGAAAAGGTAACAACTGTAATTTTATAAAGAAACACAACATTTATGGTCTGAAGTCTCTGCTGAGAATACACGCTGTAAGTAAAATGAGATTGGGCATTAAACAGTTCTTATGGTCTGAAGTAAGAATGTGATTTAGACTTTAAGATAGAAAGATAGTGAATACTGCGAGGTTTAATTTTTTTCCCTCCATCAGTTAGCTTATCCTGAGTTAAAAACTGAGTGACAATATAGAATCATAGAATCATAGAATCATAGAATCACCAAGGTTGGAAAAGACCTAAAAGATCACCCAGTCCAACCGCCCACCTATTCCCAATAGCTCCCACTAAACCATGTCCCTCAACACAACATCCAGCCTTTCCTTGAACACCCCCAGGGTCAGTGACTCCACCACCTCCCTGGGCATCCATTCCAGTGCCTGACCACCCTTTCTGAAAAGTAATACTTCCTCATGTCCAGCCTGAATCTCCCCTGCCGTAGCTTGAAGCCATTCCCCCTGGTCCTATCACTAATGACACGAGAGAAGAGGCCGACCCCCAGCTCACTACAACCTCCCTTCAGGAAGTTATAGAGAGCAATGAGGTCTCCCCTGAGCCTCCTCTTCTCCAGGCTGAACATTCCCAGTTCCTTCAGCCTCTCCTCATATGGCCTGTGTTCCAGACCCCTCACCAGCTTTGTTGCCCTCCTTTGAACACGTTCCAGGGCCTCAACATCTTTCTTGCAGTGAGGGGCCCAAAACTGGACACAGTACTCGAGGTGCGGCCTCACCAGTGCTGAATACAGGGGAATATCATTAATTATTCACTATAAAATTATGGAACGTGATTCCCTGTGCAAGTAGGATCTGCTGAGGTTTTGTTGCCTGTCTAGAGCACCAGTCTCCTTGATTAAATTATTGGATTGAAACTGTGAGATATTTATTTTTAATGTGCATTATTGTGTGACTGGGAAGTTAAGACGTAGTAATTGGGATCTCCAAGTGATCAAACAGCATCAAGGCAACTTTGCAAGCATTACAACTGCTGGTGCTTGTTCTGGAAGAAACTGTAATTGATCTTTGATTATAATGTAATCTGTAGGACTTTGAAGATATCACAGCTCAGGCAAGTCTAGAAGAAAAAATGGAAACTGGAGAGTCATTGGAAGACCAGCTGGAAGTTGACAGAGCCCTTTTGTCCAGGAGCTCCATGCGAACTGTAATGATGGTTCATCAACAGCTGTGCTTGAACTTTGCTCGATCCCTGTGGTATCAACAGAGTCTGCCTTCTCATCAAGCTAAACATTATTTCAGTGCATTTGTTTCCTGCTATCAAACCGGTGCATGTCTGGTGTCGCAGTTCTATCCTTTAATGGGTAAGATTACTAGCAACATTTCAGATATTGTACAGTTTTAACCTTGTAATAATGAGTTACAAATGAATTGTATAGCAGATCATTAAACAGGCCAAATGTAGGGGAAATGAAATGAGCAAAAAAAGCTTGTTTTCATTTATAATGGAAAACAATCAAAGAATAAATCTACAGTATAGTCAAAAATTTTAAGTGCTTACATCTGCATAATCCTGTGAAAGATGATGGACTTGCTGAAATTCTCCACAGTCAAAATTGGAAATTAAGTTCATCAGGAAATTTATTTCAGTTGAGCTCCTGTAATTTAAAGCACAACAACAGAAGGATCTTCTTTACTCTGAATTCTGGCACACTTCATGAAAATCATTATAACAATGTGGAAGACCTCAGGATAATATTTTTTTGTCACCTCTCAAAGCAGAACTGTGTGCAGAATACATGTATGTGTGCAATTAAGAAGCAAATAATGTAGCAGGACTGCTATTTCTGCAGTCATGTATTTTTGTGTTTATACCTGAAGTGTAATGTTTGTGAATATGTTGTTTTGTTTTTGTTGGATTACTTTTTCACAGAGCCTCATTAATAATTTTGTAGTGAATGCCTTCTCAGTGTGAATTTATGAACAGAGGAACTGAGATCTCCTTGCTGGTCCCACCCTCTACCTTTACTGTTCTTTTTTTATATAGCATTTTGATAAAAAGGAGGATGTGAACTCATGCTTTTGAGTGGCATAGTCATGTATGTTTGCAGTATATAATATGCTGCAGTTTGGGATACAGGGAAAAATGAACTTTTTCTGTACAACTGAAAAAATTAACTCATAGCATGTGTGATGTCTCCTTTTTTTGGCTTGCTAGGTGCCGAAATGAACAATAGTCTTTTGGGAAGCCAACTTCTAGTTAGCACTCTTCTTCACAATACCTTTTTTGAGGAAATGACTTCAGATCTTGTGCTACAGCAAGATGGCCCATATGACTTTTACCAGCATCCTAATATTAAGCAAGTCCGACAGTGCCAACCTGTACTTGAGAATTTTGCTAAAGAAATAAACAGGTTACTGCAGGAATGGCCAGAGCATCCAGTACTGCTGCAGGTAAGGACAACTCAAAAAATGTTTGGGAAAAAAAATCCCAAAGTGTTTCAGAATTGCTTGTGTGTGTAAATACATATATAGGTAGGCATAGACCTCTGCATGCATATCTGCCCAAACATCAGTATTACTTACACAGACATTTTGAAGTCGTGCCTGTTTCTTCGTAAAGAGATATTTGGTACTCCTAGCAGTTCAGCTTTACTTGTGAAATGCTAAGGAACCTTTACTGCATGCTCTGTTCTTACAGCTTTCATCAGTCTTTGATCTGCTGTACTGAAAAGATTTTTGAAGTCTTACACTATTCAGGCGTCTAATTTTCCCCAGAATGCTTTTTTTCACAGTGTTGTAGAAGTTGATATCTTTGTTACCTCTTAAGGGATACTGTGTGGCTCTTAAGTTATTTCTTGAAGACTAATGAAGAAACTCAGGATCAATTGGAGCTCCTAACATGAGGTCATTTGTGCTCCTTTCAGGGAAAATACTGACATTTAATGAACTACTAGTAAGCTAGTACTTAAAAGAAGAAGCAATTGAAAATAAAAAATATTCTTACCTCTTTTGTAGTATGGTAATGCTAATACAAACTAACATGAGCATTTGAGTCAGATGCTGTAGTTGAACACTTGTGCTTTATTCTGCAGCTGTTAGTTGTGATTGACAGAATCCAGAGCTTTCCACTCTCTAGTCCCCTCTCAAAGTTCCTGAATGGCTTGGAAATTCTTCTTGCAAAGGCACAGGTAAGAAGAAGGCTAAGGGAAACTTTCTTTTCTATCATTTATTCTTCCTTATTTATGTAGATACCACGATAGACCGCATTTGTTAATGCTTTCCAGGGTTTGGGGAAGTGAACTGCTCCATGCTGCTGGTGTAAGGAGTTAGGAAGACAGTGGAAGTACATGAGTCTTGCTATGCAGACATTAATTTCTTGCTTTTTATAACAAAACTGATTGTTGTTTTGTGTTGTGCTTTTTCTTGTTTTGGTTTTGTTTTCCCAGGACTGGGAGGAAAATGCTAGTCGAGCTTTGTCCCTGCGGAAACATCTTGACTTGGTCACACAACTGATTATTCAGTGGCGTAGATTGGAGTTGAAGTAAGAATTGTTCTTCCTTACTGCTATTTTTTAGACACAAAAATTCTGTCTCTTTGTGGAGACGTGTTCCTATGTTTTATTGCCTCAGTCATGGAACATTTTCTTTTTGTGCGTGTGAAGCTGCCACAGAGCATAGGTGTATAAATGAAAAAGTGGTTGAGCTGGTTCCAAATGAGCATCCCCATGTTGCCTTTTGTAGTGACTGCATGTGTACGTATGTGCATGCCTCAGGAGGGACAGAAGCAGGACACAACTAGAGTAATTCATAATATTTTCCCAGCCTTCTGCTGTTTTTGTCCTGAGGTTGCTGAGTGGTTTGTCACTTTAACAATCACTATTAAATTTTACTTAAAAATCATTAGCCAGTCTCCTGTTAAAACCATGTAACATTTTTATGTCCACAATACGCCATGATCAGGAATTCTACAAGTCCACCACATATTTTGTGAAAGAAAACTTCTCAGCCTGGCTCTGACTGGTTTTATTTGACAGTTCTTGGCTCCTTTGTTTTTTCTCGTAATTTTAATAGTGATAAAGCCATGATCTTCAGTAGTTGATTTTGTACATTAAGCATACGTGCAGATTATCTCAATCTGCAAAGTCTTCCTTTAGTTTAGCAGTAACAGAGAGTGAGTGGTGTTTTGGAGCCTATGTGATTCATGATCTTGATTATTTAATTACTATTTTTTCCTTCTCTTCCCCCACTAATTGGTTTCAGTTGCTGGTCAGTAAGTCTGGATAATATTATGAAGCAACACGTAGAGAAATCCACAAAGCACTGGTTCTCACTCTATCAGATGATTGAGAAGTATGTGCAAGAACAGACCAAGGCTGACATGGAAGGTAAGTGCTGCTCTTACACAAATATGTGATACAGTTGCAGCAGTTACTAGAGATGTATAACTAAACTCTAAAATGGCAGAGCTTAGCTATGCACTTTCAGGTGTAGTTTTTGTTCCCTTTGCCCTGCAGAAAGTTCCATGACTGTGTAACCTCTTCCATATGGGGTGAGCTTGACATGGTATTTTTCCTGAAGCCACCTGTGTTGCATAGAGTTAATATTGTAAGTTGTGTAGGGGAAAAGCTGTCTGTAAAAGGCATCCTAAAGAAACGTTCCCATTAATTGTGTGTTAGGGACATATAAACATTTTTAATTGGATTTGTATTACAGAAAGCTTTCACTTGCAGCTGAAAAAGGCATCTGACTTTTTAAGCTGTGCACAGCACTTCTCACATCCTAGCTGAAATGCTTCTAGTATTTTGTGTAAAGCAGGAATAGTTCCTTCAGTCCATACTTCTCTACTTGCAAATCTGTCTGCTGGTGTTCAAGTTATGTAAAGGAGGAAAAAAAAATACTGCTGTCAGTCTCTAACTCCCCAAAATGTTATGATGTTGTGAGGATGAAAATAGCATTCTCTGGCATAAGGCAGAGCTCTTTCAATCTCATTAGTAATTTATGTATTGTCTTGACAAATTCAGATCTCTGGGTTCTTTTTTGACATCTCCCAGTGTTTTCTCCTGTAGGTGATGCTCTGAAGGCACTGTAATCTCTGCTTGATTTTTCCCTCTTGATTTTGAGGCAGTAAGGAACTGATAGTGGCTAATTTGTAGCATGTAGATCTTCACGATGGCTAAAAAAAAATCTGTTAATTCAATATCAAGTATTCTTCATGTACTTGGTTTACTCTGAAATTGGGCATGTAGCTGTCCTCCTTAATCTGGTCTTACTACTACCTCTTTGTTCAGTCTCCTTTTTTTTATTGTTTTGGGTTTTTTTTCCAGTACATTTTTTGCTGGTTTTATTCATTATTAATTTAGAATCACTTTTTTTTTTTCTTTGTTTTGAAACTTGCCCAATAGAAGCCTGACGTTTAGTTGAATGTTCGCAAAGTTTTCATGTCTGCAGTTTTCATACGGTGTTTTTATTCTGTTTTCTTCCATCTCCTTTTAAATTTCTGGTGGAATGTTCAGAAACTGAGCAGATGAGCCTAAAAATGCTGGTCAACACACTACAGGCTTTCATTGAAGGATCTACGCTAGGAGAGTTTCATGCACGACTTCAAGCCTTGCTGGTTTTCCACTGCCATGTCCTACTGATGCCTCAGGTAGCAGAAAAGGGTAAGCATTGTTAGCATTAAACGTGGTGAGCATTCTTTACCTGGCTGTCATGTTCCAGGCTTTCCAAACAGGTGGCTAAGAGCTCGTAAATACAACAGGAGCTAATGCTGCATTTTCTTGCCCTCACAAAGAATACTGTTTGTCTGTTATTCTCTTATTTTCACCAAACTTCATGATAACAAAATAAAACCAGGCTGCATTTCTGCTGTTGATACTGAAGAATATCCTGTTTTGAAAGATTTTTGTCTGTCCTTTCCAGACGTTCTGTGCAGCATCCTGTGGAATCTCTATAATTATTATAAGCAGTTCTCAGAGTGTGTTGAGACCAGAATCACTGAACTTCGTCAACCTATAGAAAAGGAACTTAAGGTAAGAGAAAACTTCTCTCAGACCATATGTTGAACTAACTAGAGGAACAGTGGTGGAGCGGGTATTTGAATTTGTGTGTAATGGCTCTGGTGGACATTGAAATCCATGCTGTACTCCACATTTTTATTGACAAGAAGATATTTTTATGGCACAGAGTTGGTGAAAGTCATTAATGTTTGGTTGTGTTTAGCCACGGAGATTCCTACCAAGTAGTGAAGACCCTTTGGCTTTCACATTGAAGTATGCATAAGCACCTGGCTTGTAGCATAAGATGGCTATGCAATAATCTGCGCATGTATGAAGATGTATTTTAAGACAGCTAGGTCATCATAGCTGATCAAGTTGAGAGATTATTTTTATATGCAAATTCTTCATTACATTTGTATAAATAATCCCACTGATTATTTCTTTTAATAGGAATTTGTGAAAATTTCGAAGTGGAATGATGTCAGCTTCTGGGCTATTAAACAGTCAGTTGAAAAAACTCGCAGGTAACTCAGAACGTGAAATTAAGGAGCCATTTAGGGACTGATCATAATAAATGGCAGTATTTTATGTATGAATGTACTTGGAACCTTCTTTGTAGATTTCTTTGACTTAAAATTTGAATGCAGAAATGTTTCTTTTACTCATAATGCAGTGGAAACGCTTATTTCCAGCAGCTGAGATATTGCCAGGATTAGATCACTCAGTGACTGTTTTGCTTTCTTTTGATAATTAGAACTCTCTTTAAATTCATGAAGAAGTTTGAAGTTGTTCTGAATGAGCCATGTCGGCCTGCCTTGGTGGAAACTGGTAAGGAAGAGCAGCTGGACTGCTTGCACCAGCAGGAGGAATCTGAGAACAAAGAGGCTAAAGTTCAGAAGCTAAACAACACACTAAGAAAAGTTCTGTCTGCTAGAACAGATGCTGCCAAGGTGACTGTATTCTTAAACCTAAGTGTAGGAAGGTTACTCTCTATGTTCTCATCTAAATGTTGTTTTTCACTGATTTATGGAGAAAAATCTTACATAAATGCCAAGTCTGTTGAGTATATCATCAACTTGTTGGTCTTTTTTTCGTGTTCAGTTTTACGAAACTGCAGGTGCGTGCAAGTGTAGCATGGAAAGACAAACATGTTCAGTATTGACTTGGCACAATATTTACACTCTCCTGGAGATGACAGCAGTCGAACATTTTATCTCTTAAGTTACTGGTATATTGTCTGTAACTGTTTATTACTTCTTTACTGGTATACTGATACTGACAAGAGTTGGTAATTGGCATTGATTTCTCCTTGTTTACAAAAAGTTTCCTCGTGTATTCATTACTGAACTATTCCATACTGAACTGTGTTGAGCGAATTTTGGGATTTCAGGAGTTGAGTTTCAAATGAATGTGGAATTTTGCCCTTGTTTTTGAAGCAGTTTATTCTATGTTAATCTACTGACAAGACGGCCTCGATCAAATGTGTGTAATTGGATTTTTTCCTTAATTTTCCTCAGCAGCCACTAACAGAAGGATTTCAGGATATTATTACATTTCGTGCAGATTCTCTTCAGTATCGCCTGCCTAAACTTACCAAAAAAATGAAGAAAATGTGTGTGACAGTTACAGAGAGTAATTCATTCTTAAGTCTGCTGGAAAGTCTTGACCAGTTCACAGGTTAGATACTCATGATTTGCATGTCAGTGTTGACTGTTTTAGCATGAGTGTAATCAGGAAATGTGTAGATACGTAGTTCCCTTCACAGACTGTCTTCCCATGGCTGATTTCAAATCTCTCATCGTTCTGTCTGTCTTCCATGCAGGTGATATCATTGGTTCTGTAGTTGAACTGCAGAATTTAACGTTTGATCAGACAGCAGATAAGGAGAAGCAGAAGTCAGAGGCCAAGCATATTCAGATGCAGAAACAACGCGCTTTGTCAGATCTCTTCAAAATCCTTGCTAAAACAGGTGAGCTTTGATTTGGAATGTGCTTACTTTAACACTATAAAGTTATGAAGCTTTTTACATTTTTGCCAGTACCTGTAAATGCACAATAATAGTATGTTCTTGAAGTTACCAAACCATTAATGCACAGAAGCAAGTAAGTCTCTTTCCCTTCCTGATGTGCTAGTCCTTTCATTCCCCTTGTCTTCTTTGTACATTCAGTGTATGTGAAGCAGTTGCTTTTTTGAAGCAAAAATCTACATTATCTCCAGTCAGAAGTCACTTCATACACAAAAGGGAAGATGAAAGTCCTATACCTGTTCTCTTATCCAGAACTGAAGTTAAATTAACTTCTTTAAATGAGAGCCCATCTCTCAGTTGAGTGACTGGCAGAAGTAGGATTGGCAGTGGTGCAGTTAAGCTGTGGAGAATGAATGGTCTCTTCATGGGAATCACTGTAGGAATTCCTCTGAGAAGCTCAGTCTCCATTGCTGCCCTTGGTAGTCGTAAGGTCAGGGAACTACTCAAGCTGTTAATTGTTGTCTTTTCCTTTGATTAAACTGGATTCATCAACTGTTCTTAATCACTGAGCAGTTTAGAAACCAGCAAAGGCGAGCAATCTTGTTGTCTGACAGCAGAAACAGCAAAACACTTGTCTGACAGCATTCCACCGAGTCATAGCCAGAGGTAGAAACAAACAGAGCTTTGCCAATTCTTTTTCTTTAATTTTCCTCTTGAAGAAAGTTTACCATTTTTAGTGCTTCTCATGGAAGCCACAGCTTTCAGTCTGCGGTGATTTTAAGAATCTCAAAAAAAAAAAAAAATCAGTATCAACTTAATCTCTACACCCTGGCTGCAGAGGTTAGGTTTTAGAAGTATATATCTGTAAATTGTTCTGTTAGGTTTTATTTCACGCTGTCACATGCCTTACAGGTTGAAGGCTTTTCTTTCTCTTATCTGCCACCACAAACGTTTTATATATGCAAGTCTATGTTTACCTTATTTCAGCAGTGTTCTTTAGCTGAAGATAGCTCAGCTATGATGTATTATTTTATGTAACTTGGAAAATGTTCAAAGGCTTGTCAGGATTACAAAGCATAAGGAAAAAAATCATACATTGGAGTTTTTGCATCTTAGTGTCAGCTACCTGACTCACATTTTCTTCACTTGAAAGAAGGAGGGCATAAAAAGGTGCATTCAATTGTCATTGCAGGCTTGTCGTACCGAAAAGGGCTTTCTTGGTCCCGTTCCAAAGGCTGTCATGAAATACTATGTGTACATCCACTGGACTTACGTAGTGCGTTAGCTGTCGTGAGCAATATATGTGAGCTGGATGCCACGTATGTATGCAGAATTTTTAACTCTTACATTGTACGAGTCCTGTACTTATTAGAATTTATCACATGTGGATTTAGATGGGAATTTTTGGATGTTACTTTATTTACATTTGTCCCCTTCTGTTTTCTCTGTTTGAAAGTCCTGTATGTACTGTACTGGCACATAAAACTTAGAGAGGTTTGGGTTTGTTTTTTGGTTTCTTTTTTTTTTTTAGGGTTGGATTGTTTTTAATTTACACTTCAGACAACTTTGCTACCATTGTCACTGGTTCAAAGAATTCAGTTAACCCACTGTTGCCCAACTTTGCTTGGGACAGTTTGTTAACATAATTAGTGGGTAGATGCTAATGACTTAAAGATCAGTTGCAGTTTACAAGGGTGAAGTCGTCATTTGTTTTGTTTTCATCACTGGCTAATGGCATATTTCTTGAGAAAATGCATGGACTTTCAGAGTGGACATTTGTGCAAAGTCCTGTCTAGATGGAAGATGTTCCTTCAGACGTTTTTCTGGTCTTTCAGGAAGCAAGTGCTCAGATCTGGACATTTAGTTTATCATGTGTTTGGCCCTTCTGTAAGGGCCAAAATACAATCTTCCTTATCAAGATTAATTTAGCAGCATTTGAAAAAAACAAATCCACAGTTTAAGCTCTAAATGTTATTCAGAGATTTGGTTTCTGCCTTAGGTTTATTAAAAACAATAATAATTTCTCATGACTTACTTAAATATTTGTTGGGAAAAATGGAGAATTGAGAGCCCAATACATGTGCAAAATAACAAATTGTAAGCAGATCTTTTAGGTTGAAGAGCTGACCTAGTGGCTCTAGTGTGCTGAGGTACTGAAATTACTTACCTTTCTAATGCCAGTGTTTTGTACTCTGTCAGGTTTGTGGCAGAGATTTCCTCTGCCTGGGATGGATGCCAGAAGTACTTCTATCGCTCGCTTGCACGCCACTCTCGACTTCAGACAGCATTGTTGGCCCCTGCCAAGGTAAAGCAACTAAAAACAGGAATCCTGCTGTTGTTAGCTTTTACTGGAATCTTCTAGTAATAAAAGGGTGATGTGAGATAAAGCTTTTTCTTTTTTTTTAATATGATAGAAAATATTTGGGGGACAAATATGAAATTCAGCATTTTAAAATGTGTTATTTAATGAACGAACAATAGAATGAGCAGATTGTTAGTGAGCAATCTGTGCAGTGTACAGTATTTCCATCCCAGCAGTTCCCAAATTGTTGCTGGTTCTTCGTGAAGGATGTGTCTCAGAAGCTGAATTAAAACATATTAGGAGAACAGAATCAGGATTAGTGATCATGGAAAATCTGTTGCATTTTATACATTGGAAATAACTGAGTAGCACGAAACAGAAGAATACATTGCCTTGCTTAGAAATTGATGTAAAATTGATAGAAGGAACAGATGTGTTCTGCCAAGTCAGTATCACTTTTCCAGGAAATGGGGATCTCTTCCAGATGCTTTTCCTCTCACTGTACTTCATCTTACATGAATTAGCAAATATTACAACTGATAGTTGAATAAATAATGAAACATATCTGGGATTTGTTTTGCCTTTTATCATCATGTATTCTACACTTGAATTTGGCTTCTTTAATTAAAAAGAATGAAAGTAATTGTCAGTAAATCTGGTGAAATTAATTGTAGCAGTGTTTATGGATGTAAAAATTTAAGCTTCTGGGTTCTCCTCTTGGGATTTATGTATTAATTAGGTCACTTTTTGAACTCAATTCCTGATAGGAATGGCTGCAGTGGAAGTGCAGTGTAATACTACTTTTTGCAGAATGTACTTGAAAATTGGAATTATGTGGGGAATATATGAAAGGTGTAAAAGATTGAAGATAGTGGAAAGTAATAACTGTACTTTGTCTGCATTTTAATACTTGCTCACTTGAACCTTAGCCTTTCACTCTGTTTAGTGAAATGGAATGGAGGCACAGCCCACATTGTTGTCAATCTGCTTATTCATTAAACTGTTGTCTCCCTTCCCTCCTGTTTCTCCCTGTTTGTTTTCTTTAGGATATTGGACTAGGTAGTGTTGAGAGATGCAAAGGATTTGCTGCACACCTCCTACAGTTGCTTGTCAGACAGAGACAATCTCTTGCTGCCTTGATGGAGCAGTGGGTCTTACTAAGGTATTTTGCATTATACCATTACAGCCTTATTTAAGTGTTCATTACACAGTTATTGGCAGCAAGCTATTCCATTCAAGAAAGACAGAAAATGATGCAGTAAAAAACAAATTCTTCCCCCTGCTTTTCCACTTCATCTCTCAATTAAGCCCAGATGTGGGGAGGGGGAGGAAGTGTATATTTGAGATGGGGAAATAAATATTGTTTATCCCATCGTTGAGCTGGCATGTTGGAATCAAAATAATGGAAAAAACAAGTTAGGTGGACATGAAGGCTATAAAGTAATTATTTATGATTAATTGCACTGTTAAACCCATTGAACCTTTCTCATTTGGTATTGGCCTAAGTTAATTTTGGCTATATTCAATTGATTTCTATTCATTTTCAAAATAAACAATCTAGATTGTCCTTTGGGCCAAAATGAAGAAACCTCAACTGCCCAAGAAGAAACATTCTTGAAAGTTGGGAGATAATAGGATGTGTTGGCATTGTAAAAGTGGGTAGGAAGTCTTTATCACTTGATGGAATTGCTCCCATTTCAGTTCACTGCAAACTCCACTGTTCTGTGTATTTCTGCTCATCACTAATGACATCTATTAAACTTGAAGTTATGTCAGAGACTTTCCTTTGTACAGGGAAAGAAATCTGTGCTGGAGATTAGTGGTGCAAAAACTGCATTAACTATATTATTACTAAAATAATAGTAAAGCAACAGCAGTAATAATAAAACAAATTCCATATGCACAAGTCTCATTTTATTGTATAACAGTGGAAAACTAACATATGAGTCTCAGGACTGGAGTCTAAGGATTATTGAAATGGTTGGTGTTGACTCTGAAAAATCTCACCCAGACCTGTTTCTGGTGTGACTAAACATGCAAAAAATCAATCAATTTTTAAATGTATGTGAAATCGTTTTAGTTTTTCCTGGATGAAGTTTGACTTTTGCTGCTTTCGTATTACCTAGAACTTCTATGAACTCGGTCTGAAGCTTGAGCTTTTAAAAGGGAGGTATCATGTAAAACTGTTGCTATGAGGTTTATGCAGTTTTCTTCTTTCTTTCTTCTTAACCAGGAACCTCCTGAGTAGCATCCAAGAGATAGACAAGAGATTGAGTGCTGACAAAGAATATAACATAGCATTACCTCCTCAACGTAGTTTTCAACACTGGACTGACAAACTGCAGCAACTTTCCATGCAGTGTGTGATGGTTCTTGAGGAGCTGTCTTGGTTTATACAGTGCTGCCCACCAGAAGAGCTAATGAAGTGCAGTGACACTGAAAGGACAGATGTCAAAGGAAATGTTTTTCTCCGCTCAGGACCTGAAGAAATGCTGGGAAATGTTGTCCCAGGAATACCTGAGCGGATTCCCTCAGAACTTAAATATCTGTCTCCAGTAACAAGTGAGCAACTGCCTCCTGGATGCAGGATGCGAAACAAGGATCAGCTGTGGCTGCAGCTTTCTGCACAATTGGCAGCAATGCTGGCACGTGTGAAGGCAATGAAAGCAGAAGTGGACAAAATAAGACAACAGCCGTGTGAGACCTTGTTCTATTCCTGGTGAGTTCTACATCTGCATAAATGGAATTTATGCATAAATGTATGTTCATATTAGATGTATAAAGTCATCCTGAAGGTTGCCTTAGCGTATCTTAAAAGGTATTGTTTAAATGTTCTTGAAGCTTGTTTCTGTTTGGTTTTCTTTCATACTGCAATGTCTGGCTTTTCAAACAACTGAATGCAATCTTCTCTCAGTCTGCTGAGCAGTCAGGAAAAGATGGGTCCTTCTCAGCTTCTGCAGTTGTCTTTGTTCCCTTGGGATTTCATCCCCTTTGCTCTTCAGTTAGTTAATGATGTAGAGTTCAAGTGTGAATTAATAGAAGAAACTAAGAGGCCTGAAGGCAGCCTGTTGAAGGAAATATATATACATATATCAGAAGAAAAGCTGTAGTCTTAATCTGAGACGTTCTTTCTTCTCTCAGTGTTATAATCTGTCTTGTTGCAGGAGAGATTTTGAAGTTTGCACATCAGCTATGAGTTGTCTGCTGGAAGTGTCAGCTCAGTTAGAAGGTGTAGAGACCCTGTTTCACTTGGATGAGGAAGAGGAGCCAGCTGCAGATCAGATGGCTGTAATAAAGAGCCTGAAGTATATACAAGAGGAAATTAATACTACATCTACAGACTTCACAGTTTGGAGAAAGCAGCTTCTTGCTTCCACATCGAACTGTAGTGGTAAGGACAGTTCTCTACCAATTCTGTAGTTCAGGTAAAGATAGAAAGAATTCATTAGGTTTTATTGCAGAAGAATGCTTATTCATTGCTGTTGCCATGTGTTCACTTGGATATCCACAAACACTTGATGAAATTCAAACTGGGAAAATTTAGTCTGAGTTGACATTGTGCAGGAATACTTTTCCCTTTAGTTTCTGGTGCCAGCAGTCCTTGTGTTATAGTTGTAAATCAGAACTAGCAAGGGTTTGTTAGTGCAAGCTGCAAATGCTTATCATATTCCTTGCATAAGAAAACTTATAAACCAGTAATTCAATGTGTGTCTATTTTAAACTGTCTGTGTTATGATTCAAAAGGAAATAAAGAATCTGATGAAGAATTTGTGGAGCGCTTCTCAGCTCAAGTGGAAACTGTTATCCATGGTGTTCTGTATGCCATCCAGTGTTTGGTAGAGAGAAAACAGAAAGGTGAAGAGGAAGAAAAACCTCCAGAGGAAACAGGTGAGATTGTTAATTTAGTCAAGGGGCAGTGAGAGAGGTTAAACTACTTGACCCTAAAAATAACAGTACCCAAGGAAATTTCCATTTCATTAGTTGTGCCCATGAACAGGCAGCATGGACATTTCTTGTTTGCTTGGTATAACATTTTAAAATATCAACTGTGACATCCATCTCTTTTTTTGCCCCCTGTGTTTCAACCAAAGATGATACAGCTTCATTGGACATGATTAAAGCAGGGCATTTAACTAAACTTTTGGATGAAGATATTTCTGCTGATGTGGAATCTTTGCATGTACAGAAAGTAATTTCAGCGGTTTCAGAACTGATGGAGAGCCTGAAATCTTATGGAGAAAATTGCACCTCAGATAAACATAAGGTAAAATTGTTCTTCTTGAAAGCTTTTTGGCTGAGGGGTCTCAGTGATTCGGAATTATCAGCTGTAGTGGTTTAACACAAATTACTTCTTATTGTTCATTACTATAGAACTAGAAGTATGCATAAGAACATAACTGAATGTAGATATGCTCTTTTGTAATGTAAAATGCAGATGGTCCTTTAATAAAAAGGAAAAACGTTATTTTTTGTGAAAAAAGCTCTAGGAATCTATTGTGTTTAAATTTGCCCACTGATATTTCTGGCTTGAGCATCTGTTTCCAGTCTGTCATAGCCCTCTGATAGGTACATCTCAGTAATTACATTAACATGTTTGACAGCTGTTCTTTGATATTTATTTATTTATTTATTTATTTATTTTAACTGCAGTTCTTCAACCAGTCCTGCTATTTGCTGGTGCGTCTAATGCCCATGCTCTGCAAGTTTTCAGACCTTATTCTGTTCTACCTCACTATTTCACTGTCATCTCACCGGAGTACTGGAAAACTGCTTTCTGTTCTAACTAGTATTTTCACAGAGCTTGCCCAAAAGGTAAGTTGTTAGAGATAAAGGTGGATGTATGAAAAGCATATTAATATATACACTTGGTTTCTATGTAAGAATTGGGTAAAGATGTAGTTACTGGTACAGAATGTCTTCTGTTTGCCTTTATAGGGGTTTTGTCTGCCAAAAGAATTACTTGAAGATGAAGCTGGAGAGGGAGCAACACAGTTTCATGATTATGAGGAAGGTGGTATTGGAGATGGGGAAGGCAAGAAGGATGTGAGCGACAAAATAGAAAGCGAAGATCAGGCAAGTTGTGTTTTTTGGGAGAGGGGTTAAGGGGAAGGTGGGAGTAGTTTAAATAAAACTGAGACTAAATGCTGAAGAAAGGCTGCTTCTGTTTACTTGTAAATGCAAATGCAAGAGCTTTTAGCTATTTCTGTTAAGTTTGGTTTCACTAGAATTTCTTTCCTGAGCGATTTCGTTACCTGTGCTATTGTTAAGGAATGAAAAGTAATTTATGCTGGCTCTGTGTCAGTGTTGAAGGTCAGTTCAGCCATATTACTGAACATATTGTGTAGGGGGTTTGAATGGTTTTAGGGAGGAATATGCAGAGTAATAGAAAATGCCAGGCTTTAGCTTGATGTGTTTGGGTGGAGAGACAGCTCACATCAGAAGTTGTATAGTGTAGTTAACGTGAGTTTGCCTGGACCTTCAGTCTGAGAAGCACCAGGGAGAGACATGGAAAAATTCCTCTGATGGCTTTCTGGGAAGTCATGTTGAATGGAGAACACTAATAAAGGGCCCAAGATAGTTGTTCCAGTTGGCTCTGAGCTGGTCTTTACTGGCTAACTTCAGTTTGCATAAGTTACAATTTATATTTAATATCAGTAATTGCATTCAAGAAATGAGGACGTAACTTGAAAATGACCAGAGGATAGTATGGATAACCTTATGTGAGGTTATAGTTAGGCTACCTACTAACAGGACAGTTCCTTCTCTTGAATAGATATGATAATTTTTCCTTTAACCCAGCTTTATGAGTGCACAAAGACCATCAAAACTTGAGAACCATGTTGTGGAAAAAAATGAAACGCATCAGATGTTTCAGGTTAGAAAAAGTATATCTGTGAAGTAAGTTGCTTTCAGTCTCCCAACTAGGTTAGCTTCTATCTTTCTATGTTACTGTTGTAGTACTTCATGTAAGCTTAAATATATACACTAGGTTCATTGTAACTTTTGTCTTTACCAATAATTCAGATAGAAGACAGTTTTAAGAAGGGTGAGGAGAAGGAGAAAGAGGATCAAGATTCTAAGCCAGATATTGAAGGAGAAGACAATGCAATTGAAATGTCAGAAGACTTTGAAGGAAAAATGCATGATGGAGAACAGGAGAAAAAAGGTTTGATCCTTTCACTGAGGCAAACTTAGAAGAAGTATAATAGATCAGTCCAATG